TCCCCAGTTCTGACAACCAAAAATGTCTCCAGACACTGCCAAATGTTCCTCGGGGGCAAAATCACCCCTGGTTGAGAATAAACCACTGCAAAACAATATTATATAAGCATTAAAACATTTTTTGAAAGATACTTATTGAAGTGTCCCAACATAGGTAAAAGTAGAAGACTGAGGATGTGAGTGTGTGTGTCCGAGTCTGGAAGGAAATCAGATCAAAGGTTTATGTGAATTCTCTCTTGACTGCTGTCTCCCCTCTTGGTTTTCTGAAGTTATTTCCTGACAGAACGTGGTAGAGGCAGAGGCCAGGGTTCCGTCCACTGTGCCTCTATCTTGGCAGTGACTCTGTGGTGATGGTTTGGCTTCTGTGGCCTTTTTCCTGAGTGGCGTATTATGTTTAGTTCTGTGTGCTGTTGATGATAATGGCTCCAGCTCTTCCCTCTTGCCTTGTGGATGGCCAGCGAGCCAGCGTCCTTGTTGTCTGTCCACATACACCAGAGTCCTTTGCTCCTGGTCATTTCCTCCCGAACACTCAGCCATACCCAGCTGTGGGGCTGGCTTTTCCAGACTCCCAGTGGGAGGGTCAGGGTGCAGCCTTTAGCTGTGCACAACCCCCCAGGGCCAGTGTGAGCACCCAAGACCGGGAGATGGGCAGTGCTAAGAATGTGACTGTGCCCCAAGCACGGGATGTGCACGGCTGCCTGGCACACAGAAGGCACGGCCTTGTTGTAGCCTCCTTTTCACACCCAGGTTGGAGCCTCACCCCTTCTTTCTGGAGATGAGTTGGTTGTCTATTCTTCTGTTTTTTACCTCCTGTGTATTTAGGATCCATGTGAAATTGCCAAATTTTTTCTTTTTTCACAATGTATTTATTATTTATTTTTTTATTGAGGTAACTGGTTTATAAGATTATATAAATTTCAGGTGTACATCATTATATTTTGATTTCTGTGTAGACTACATCATGTTCACCACCCAAATACTATTACAGTCCATCACCACACACTTGCCTAATCATCCCTTTTGCCCTTTTCCCTCCCCGTTTCCCCTCTGGTAACCACCAATCCAATCTCTGTCTCTGTGTTTGGTTGTTGTTATTGTTTTTAATGACACAATCTGTGTGAAGGAAAAGGCAGTGTCTTTTTTTTTTTTGTAGGGGAAGATTTGCCCTACGCTAATGTCTGTTGATAATGTTCCTCCTTTTATCTTCCTCCCCCTGCCGCCTCAAAGCCCCAGTACATAGTTGTGTATAGCTGTAAGTCCTTCTGGTTCTTCTATGTGAGCTGCCGTGACAGCATGGCTACTGACAGACCAGTGGTGTGGTTCTGCACCCAGGAACCAAACCTGGGCCACCTGGAACTTTAACCACTGGGCCATCAGGGCTGGCTCTGTTTGTTGTTGTTTTCATCTTCTGTTTATGAGGGAGATCACACGGTATTTGACTTTCCTCTGACTTACTTCACTTAGCATAATACCCTCAAGGTCCATCCATGTTGTCACAAATGGCAAGATTTCATCTTTCTTTATGGCTGACTGCTATTCCAGTGTGTCTATATACCACATCTTCTTTATCCATTCGTCCCTTGATGGGCACTTAGGTTGCTTCCAAGTCTTGGCTATTGTGAGTAATGCTGTGATGAACACAGGGGTGCCTGTATCTTTACACATTTGTGTTTTCATGTTCTTTGGATAAATACCCAGCAGTGGAATAGCTGGATCATATGGTAGTTCTATCCTTAATTTTTGAGGAATCTCCGTACGGTTTTCCATAGTGGCTGCACCAGTTTGCACTCCCACCAGCAGTGTATGAGAGTTTCCTTCTCTCCACATCCTCTCCAACATTTGTTATTTCTTGTCTTGTTAATTATAGCCATTCTGACGGGCATGAGGTGATCTCTCATTGTAGTTTTGATTTGCATTTCCCTGATAGTTAATGATGTTGAACATCTTTTCACGTGCCTGTTGGCCATCTGTATCTCTTCTTTGGAAAAATGTCTGTTCATATCCTCTGCCCATTTTTTGATTAGGTTGTTAGTATTTTGTTGTTGAGATGCCACAGTTCTTTATATATTTTGGAGATTAACCCCTTATCAGATGTATGGTTTACAAATATCTTCTCCCAATTGTTAGGTTGTCTTTTTGTTTTGTTGGTGGTTTCCTTTGCTGTGCAGAAGCTTTTTAGTTTGATGTAGTCCCATTTGTTTATTTTTTGTTTCCCTTGCCTGGTCACACGTGGTACTTGAAAATATGCTGCTAAGACAGATGTCAAAGTGTGTAGTGCCTGTGTTTTCTTCTAGAAGTTTTATGGTTTCAGGTCTTACATTCAAGTCTTTAATCCATTTTGAATTAATATTTGTGTATGGTGTAAGATAATGGTCTCCTTTCATTCTTTTGCGTGTGGCTGTCCAGTTTTCCCAGCAGCATTTATTAAAGAGAGTTTCCTTTCTCCATTATATGTTCTTGGCTGCCTTGTCAAACATTAGCTGTCCATAGATGT